CCACTGCAGTGAGAAGCCCGGGCACAGCAACAAAGAGTAGCCCCCACTCGGTGCAATTAGAGAAAGCCCATGTGCAGCAACAGAGACCCAACACAGCCAAAAATAAATAAAATAAAAATAAAAATAATTTTTTTAAGAAAATAGTAATAGGAACATACATATCAATAATTACCTTAAATGTGGATGGATTAAATGCTCCAACCAAAAGACACAGGCTCGCTGAATGGGAATAAAAACAAGACCCATATACATGCTGTCTACAAGAGACCCACTTCAGACCTAGGGACACATACAGACTGAAAGTGAGGGGATGGAAAAAGATATTCCATGCAAATGGAAATCCAAAGAAAGCTGGAGTAGCAATACTCATATCAGACAAAATAGACTTTAAAATAAAGAATGTTATAAGAGACAAGGAAGGACACTACATAATGATCAAGGGATCAAGCCAAGAAGAAGATATAACAATTATAAATATATATGCACCCAACATAGGAGCACCTCAATACATAAGGCAAATGCTAACAGGTATAAAAGAGTAAATCGACAGTAACAAAATAATAGTGGGGGACTTTAACACCTCACTTACACCAATGGACAGATCATCCAGACAGAAAATTAATAAGGAAACAGAAGCTTTAAATGACACAATAGACTATACAGATTTAATTGATATTTATAGGACATTCCATCCGAAAACAGCAGATTACACTTTCTTCTCAAGTGCACATGGAACATTCTCCAGGATAGATCACATCTAGGGTCACAAATGGTAAACTTAAGAAAATTGAAATCATATCAAGCATCTCTTCGATCACAATGCTATGAGATCAGAAATCAATTACAGGGAAGAAAACGTAAAAAACACAAACACATGGAGGTTAAGCAATACGTTACTAAATAACCAAGAGATCACTGAAGGAATCAAAGAGGACATCAAAAAATACCTAGAGACAAACGACAATGAAAACACGATGACTCAAAACCTATGGGATGCAGCAAAAGCAGTTCTAAGAGGGAAGTTTATATCAATACAATCCCACCTCAAGAAACAAGAAAAATCTCAAATAAACATTCTAACCTTACACCTAAAGGAACTAGAGAAAGAAAAACAAACAAAATGCAAAGTAGGTAGAAGGAAAGAAATCATAAAGATCAGAGCAGAAATAAATGAAATAGAAACAAAGAAAACAATAGCAAAGATCAATAAAACTAAAAGCTGGTTCTTTGAGAAGATAAACAAAATTGATAAACCTTTAGCCAGACTCATCAAGAAAAAGAGGGAGAGGACACAAATCAATAAAATTAGAACTGAAAAAGGAGAAGTTACAACAGACACCGCAGAAATACAAAGCATTGTGAGACTACTACAAGCAACTCTATGCCAATAAAATGGACAACCTGCAAGAAATGGACAAATTCTTAGAAAGGTATAAACTTCCAAGACTGAACCAGGAAGAAAACGAACACATGAACAGACGAATCACAAATAATGAGATTGAAACTGTGATTAAAAATCTTCCAACAGGGGCTTCCCTGGTGCCACAGTGGTTGGGAGTCTGACTGCTGATAAGGGGGATGCGGGTTCGTGTCCCGGTCCGGGAGGATCTCGCATGCCATGGAGCGGCTGGGCCCGTGTGCCATGGCCACTGGGCCTGCGCGTCTGGAGCCTGTGCTCCACAGCGGGAGGGGCCACAGCGGTGAGAGGTCCGTGTACCACAAAAAAAAGAAATATATATATAAAAAAAATCTTCCAACAAACAGAAGTTCAGGAGCAGATGGCTTCACAGGTGAATTTTATCAAACATTTAGAGAAAAGCTATCACCCATCCTTCTCAAACTCTTCCAAAAAATATCAGAGGAAGGAACACACCCAAACTCGTTCTACGAGGCCACCACTACCCAGATACCAAAACCAGACAAAGTTACTACAAGAAAGAAAATTACAGACCAATATTACTGATGAAAACAGATGCAAAAATCCTCAACAAAATACTGGCAAACAGAATCCAACAACACATTAAAAGGATCATACACCATGATCAAGTGGAATTTAACCCAGGGATGCAAGGATTCTTCAACACAGGCAAATCAATCAATGTGATACACGATAATAACAAATTGAAAGATAAAAACCATATGATCATTTCAATAGATGCAGAAAAAGCTTTTGCCAAAATTCAACACCCGTTTATGATAAAAACCTCCAGAAAGTGAGCATAGAGGGAACCTACCACAACATAATAAAGGCCATATACAACAAACACCACAGCAAACATCATTCTCAATGGTGAAAAACTGAAAGCATTTCCTCTAAGATCAGGAACAAGACAAGGATGTCCACTCTCACCACTATTATTCAACATAGTTTTGGAAGTCCTAGCCACAGCAATCAGAGAAGAAAAAGAAATAAAAGGAATACAAATTGGAAAAAAAAAAAGTAAAACTGTTTGCAGATTACTGTACATAGATAATCCTAAAGATGCCACTGGAAAACTACTAGAGCTAATCAATGAATTTGGTAAATTTGCAGGATACAAAATTAATGCACAGACATCTCTTGCATTCCTATACACTAACAATGAAAGATCAGAAAGAGAAATTAAGGAAACAATCCCATTCACCATTGCAACAAAAAGAATAAAATACCTAGGAATAAACCTACCTAAGGAGACAAAAGACCTGTAACCCAGAAAACTATAAGACAGCTGATGAAAGAAATGAAAGATGACACAAACAGATGGAGAGATATACCATGTTCTTGGATTAGAAGAATCAATATTGTGAAAATGGCTATACTACCCAAAGCAATCTACAGATTCAATGCAACCCCTATCAAATTACCAATGGCATTTTTCACAGAACTAGAACAAAAAAATCTTAAAATTTGTAAGGAGACACAAAAGACCCCAAATAGCTAAAGCAATCTTGGGGGAAAAAAATGGAGTTAGAGGAAATCAGGCTCCCTGACTTCAGACTATACTACAAAGCTACAGTAAACAAGACAATATGGTACTGGCACAAAAACAGAAATATAAATCAATGGAACAGGATAGAAAGTGCAGAGATAAACCCACACACCTATGGTCAACTAATCTATGACAAAGGAGGCAAGGATATGCAATGGAGAAAACACAGCCTCTTCAATAAGAGTGCTGGGAAAACTGGACAGCTACATGTAAAAGAATGAAATTAGAACACTCCCTAGCACCATACACGAAAATAAACTCAAAATGGATTAAAGACCTAAGTGTAAGACCGGATACTATAAAACTCTTAGAGGAAAACATGAAGAACATGCTTTGACATAAATCACAGCAAGATCTTTTTTGACCCACCTCCTAGAGTAATGGAAATAAAAACAAAAATAAACAAGTGGGACCTAATGAAACTTAAAAGCTTTTGCACAGCAAAGGAAACTATAAACAAGATGAAAGGACAACCCTCAGAATGGGAGAAAATATTTGCAAATGAATCAATGGACAAAGGATTCATCTCCAAAATATATAAACAGCTCATGCAGATCAATATTAAAAAAACAAACAACCCAATCAAAATGGACAGAAGGGCTTCCCTGGTGGCACAGTGGTTGAGAGTCCACCTGCCGATGCAGGGCACACGGGTTCGTGATCCGGTCCGGGAGGATCCCACATGCTGCAGAGCGGCTGGGCCTATGAGCTATGGCCACTGAGCCTGTGCTCCGCAAGGGGAGAGGCCGCAACAGTGAGAGGCCCGTGTACCGCAAAAGAAAAAAAAAAAAAAAAGGGCAGAAGACCTAAATAGATATCTCTCCAAAGAAGACATACAGATGGCCAATAAGCACATGAAAAGCTGCTCAACATCACTAATTATTAGAGAAATGCAAATCAAAACTACAATGAGGTATCACCTCACACTGGTTAGAATGGGCATCATCAGAAAATCTACAAACAAATGCTGGAGAGGGTGTGGAGAAAAGGGAACCCTCTTGCACTGCTGGTGGGAATGTAAATTGATACAGCCACTATGGAGAACAGTATGGAGGTTCCTTAAAAAACTAAAAAGAGAATTACCATATGATCCAGCAATCCCACTACTGGGCATATACCCTGAGAAAACCATAATTCAGAAAGACACACATGGGACTTCCCTAGTGGCACAGTGGTTAAGAATCCACCTGCCAATACAGGGGACACAGGTTCACGGCCCGGTCTGGGAAGATCCCACGTGCCGCAGAGCAACTAAGCCGTGCACCACAACTACTGAGGCTGCACTCTAGAGCCCACGAGCCACAAGTTCTGAAGCCCATGTGCCTAGAGCCTGTGCTCCGCAACAAGAAAAGCCACCGCAATGAGAAGCCCATGCACCACAACGAAGAGTAGCCTCCACTCGCCACAACTAGAGAAAGCCCACGTGCAGCAGCGAAGACCCAACACAGCCAAAAAATATATATATAAATAAATAAAATTTATTAAAAAATAACACACATACAAAAAGACACATGCACTCCAATGTTCATTGCAGCACTATTTACAATAGCCAGGTCATGGAAGCAACCTCAACACCCATCAACAGATGAATGGATAAAGAAGATGTGGTACATATATAAAATGGAATATTACTCAGCCATAAAAAGGAACGAAATTGGGTCATTTGTTTGTAGAGACGTGGATGGATCTAGAGACGAGACTGTCATACAGAGTAAGTCAGAAGAGAAAAACAAATATCATATATTAACGCATATATGTGGAATCTAGAAAAATGGTACAGATGAACTGGTTTGCAAGGAAGAAATAGAGACACAGATATAGAGAACAAACGTATAGACACCAAGGGAGGAAAGCAGGGGCGGGGGGTGGTAAGATGAATTGGGAGATTGGGATTGACATATATACACTAATATGTTTAAAACAGATAACTAATAAGAACCTGCTGTATAAAAAATTTTAATTTAATTTAATTTAAAAAAAAAGGAAAGAAAGTTGGTCCTACCAGAAATGTTTAGACAACATCAACAATACCTCGATAGAAGGATGTTGCAATTCTGAGCTCTCCGACCATCAATCACCGAAAGCTCTCTGACTTTAAGTTTGGAGCCCAGTGTGTCATCAATGGCATCTGCTTCTTTCTATAAAGAGCATGAAAGAAATCCATCAAAGTCAAACAGGGACATTCGGACTTCAGATACACAGTTTTCCTTTATATTTGCTGTACACACACACACACACACACACACACACACACGCACGCACGCACACGCACGCACGCACACACACACACGTGTGCACGCAAAGCCGAGACAGTAAGCAGGGGAATGAATGCAGGTGGTGGAATTGAAACAAAGGCTAAAATGTAGTTGACAAAGGAAAATAAGAAAAGCTGACCACCCACATTTGAAAAAGCATTATTTGGAAGAACAAAGTGCTTCTAAGTTGAAGATGCATAAATTATTAATGAACGGTACCCTCCTTTTGTCCCCCAAATCCCGATGGAGAGCAGACAGAAGGACTGTCACTATGAATCAAGCTCAGCTGAAACGTGCCACTGCTGGTCCAGCCATTTACAGGGCTCATTCACCCCAGAACCATTTGCATCCTGAACACCTCCCAAACATCTTCATGTGCAACAGGAAGCTCCCAAGTCCAGATGGTACCTTTCATTACCCTGGAGCCTGATGGACAACAGGGAGGGTGCAGTTCAAGGCACTGGTTCGATTTACCTCAATTAACAATAAAACACTACTTGCACACTCTACTGCTGTACAGAGAGCTGTAAGTAATGAGGGCCAGTCATAATTTATGGTGGAAGAGGCATAAAACAATTATACATAAAATCCTGTTTGAGTAAACTGGGCATCAAGGTGAAAACATAGATTGACTTGATAAATAGCAAGTTTGATTTTGTTAAAGGTCAGGATCAATTTAAAAAACAGATCATGCCATTAAAAAATGAAAGAAGCGAAAGCAGACATAGAGAATGGACGTGCAAGATTGGGATTGACATATGTGCACTGCCATGTGTAAAACAAATAGCTAGTGAGAACCTTCTGTATAGCGCAGGGAGCTCAGCTCGGTGCCCTGTGGTGACCTAGATGGGCAGGATGGGGTCGCGGGGGCGGGGGGTGGTGGTGGAAGGCAGGTCCGAGGGTGGGGGGGGGTATGGGGATATATGTATATGTATAGCTAATTCACTTCGTTATACAGCAGAAACTAACACAACATTGTCAAGCAACTATACCCCAATTTAAAAAATAAAAAAGATTAAAAAATAGGGAACTCTGGCCAAAAAAAAAAAGTAAGGAAACCAAAGAGTTCTAGAACTGGATAACAGTTTAGGAAACAAAGACAACATGGAGTTTATAATAAGAGGCACCATGTGACCAAACTTTAACTGTTTCGTATTGTGCTGAGATTTCAGGCATACCTCTCAATATTCAGTTAAGAGTTGAAACCCAATGTAAAATTAAGTAGGCATTGTATTACACTATCAGAAAAAAAAACACAAAACCCTAGGAAAACCAAGACATTTTGAGCTTATAGTAAGCCAAGGAGTTACTAAGCAAAGTGTGGGTTTTAGCTCACTTACCTGCTTGGAGTTACTGTTCACAAAGAAATCCTACAGCCATGGCAGAGGCATGGAAAAGGCAAATCAGATACATGCAGTTCAGAAATCACAGCAACCAATAGGGGAAGGTCAAGGAAATCAGTGACAGGGTAAGAGATGATTTTATGCTCCCAGGAGCAGCAATGAGAGTTGATGAAGATGAGAGTCTGGCTGAAGATACATTGAAGAGCAGGGAACTAAGTGTTCAGGGTAGAGAGAGAAGATGGCATGTGCTGTACACAATTTTCAATGGTGGCAAATCAAATTGAGAAACGAAAGGGCTTAAAACACCCCCAAAAGACTCAAAGTGGTGAAGGAACAAATCCTCTTTGAAAGGACCACTGGGCTCCATGTATTCAACATGAAGCAGATTTCATGGTTTTCCCTTGAAGCAGAAAATATCAATCAACTCTATCAACCTGAGGGAACTACTCCCATTGTCATGTGCTACCAGCAAAATATGCTTTTTTAAGGGGATGGAATAATCTCCTATCTTCTTGTGTCACTAGGAAGGATTAAGAAAAGAAAAAAGACAAGTTCAACAATATAGGTCAGTAAAACCAACACTCAGTACTCCCCGAGAGTCCAAACAATGTCTGTGGGCGCTCTGGGTAGGTATGCGGAAAAAGACAGAACTTGCAATTAAGAGACAATAAGTGATTCATGTGCTGTGCAGCCATTGGTGGTCCTGTCCCCACTGCCTTGGGGCTGTTCATGCGTACAAGGTCAACAGCCTCTGTTGAAAATAGTTCATAGAAAAGACCTGGAGTGAAGAAGGGAAAGA